CCACCCTGAGCATTCACCTTTGCCCCACACCCGAGGAGAAGCCGCATAACCGGTTCGTTCCCCTGTCTCGTGGCCGCTTGTAGTGCATTGCCATACCCGCCACCTTGAGCATTCACGTTTACTGCATCCTCTTTTCTATTGATTAGGAGTTTACAGGCCGTCACCAGACTTAACAAGGAGGAATAGTAGATTGCTGGTGGGTAAACTCCAGGATCCAGTAGAGACCGGTGGAGACTATCGGGGTTATAAATATCTAGCCATCCTTGCCCAAGCTCGAGGACCTTCAACGCAGCTTTGGAGAGTGGAGCCGGCGCCGTGACCTCAATAGATCGAATATGCACGAACCAATAGCGAGCACTATGGTAGAGGAACGGTGTTCTTTCGACTTCGTTTCCACATATGGCGCCTTGTGCACTATGTCGCAGTATTCGACTGAGACAGGCATGCCCCATCAGTAAATTGGCTTCATCCTCCGAAATATGATAGAAGGCACTGGGGCCCTGAGCTACCCGGTCGGAGATCAAATATTCCTTTACCGAGAAATGTGCTAGCCGTAATCGGCGGTTTTCCTGGGGAGATGATTTGTGGCCTCTGGCATCTTCGAAGGAGATAAGGCTTGGGCAAGCGTCCATGAGGCAGTTCATGTCAAGAATAGCTCCGAAATCATCGCCATACTCGTTGACATCGTATTTTATCACAACAGCCTCCGCAAGCTGGCCTAAAGTCAATGGTTCTGCCGAAAATGCAAGCCAATGCATCGCCCGCTGAATTAATTCCTTCTGCTTCTCAGGAATGAGATCGAGGGTCCTTGCGTAGACAGAATCTAAGTCTTTGGGGAGTTCCTTCAAGGCATCTCTCATAGATTCTGGCGTCAGACAATCTTCCAGAATCCCTAGGAGACAATCTACCCATCGGAACCTTAAAACACCCACCACAAGATTAGCCTAAGTAAAAATTCAATGATTAGGCATAACCCACATTCCCTGTGAACCTGAAACTAGCCTTTCTTTTATCTCACCCTTCATTACTTCGGTAAATTTCGTGAAACCAGGCCTGCGGTCTAGGCAGCTCTCTATATATGACTGGATATCCGGATCGATAAATTTAGATTGCAGGGGTATTGCAAAAGTGGTAGGAAGTTCTAGGGATTTCGCAATATCGGTCTCGGGACGGCTAGTCATAAGAAGCGAGAGCGATCCCGCATCAGGATCTGCCCTAAGCTCCCCAATCCAAGATAGGAGCCTCCCACGTGTGGCCTTCGGGAATTCGTCCAAGGCATCTAATATGATAAACGTCTTTCTGGAGAGCCCCGTGATATGCGAAAGGGCGACTTGCAGATCTTTTATATCTGGCAACATTCCACTTGCCTTGGAGCTGCGATACAATTTGATAATCTCATCAGGCAAGCCTATGTCAGAACTTGCTAGTAGCAGTTGGCCAATGATAGATCTAAGCATGTTGCGCAAGTCTTGCTTCTTCGGGTCACTAAAGGTAAAGTAGAAATAGGCTACTGTATGACCCTTTTCCACGAAGCATAGACGCTTAATATCTTCAATGGCAGCAGCGCTAGAGAGCTGGTCAGCAAGTAATAAATCTCACACCCCCGGAAATGCTGTTAATTTCTCACCTTAGGACGCTCTTGCCGCATCCAGCTAGAAGACGCAAATGTTAATGACACTCCTAAAAGTGGAGGATTTAGCCCGTCTGTAGACCTACGTATTCCATAAAGCCAGAGCACCCCCCTTGTCTCTTCCTTCCAACGGGTGTACTCATGTCCCGTGAGCAACCAATTCCCCGTGCCAGGTTCACGAACATCGAGCGCAGATGAATAATCAGTGCTTGGGTCGACAACGTTAAACCATTCCAGTACTTTGCGGATTTCTTTCTCTGGGGTTTCAGAAACATCTGGTATTAGTCAAGAAACTAACCAGCAGGATTAGGAACATTTTAACCCAGTACCATCTAGTTTTTGCGACATCTTTGTCACCGTCTTCCTAAAAAACCTAGTTAGCCTTGCCACCAAAACAAAGGAGAAGTTAGATTCTCTGGGGACTAAGGAATGGATAACCTACGTTGTGGTTGCCGCTAACAACGGTTGAACTTTCGATCTCTGCTTTTCGACTAAGCCTAGGTAATGCTCCATTTTAAGTTTGCGAAAAGGCCAAAGATATCTTCTCAAGCCTTTTCTCCATTCTGTGGCGTCTGACTTGAGCTTGTTATCGAGCTCCTGGAGGGCCGTTATATAACTTTGTAAACTTTTGTTTTTTGTCTGCTCAAGAAGCCGGCGGTATTCCTCGTTGTTTCCATCACCTGTTTCAGCAAGTCTTTGCCATTCCTCCAGCTCTTGGTTGATGCCCCTAATCTCGTCTCCCAGTTTCTCCAAATCTTGCTCATACTCCTTGACCGCATCGCGGTAGCCATCACAAAACTGGTAAGCCCTCTTGCCGAGGTGAATGAGGGCCAGGGCACTGGCAACCACAGAGAAGGGGTCTGCCATTTCTTTTCTCACCAAAGTTGAGAGCTTAAGAGGGGAAGTGCGGGAGTGTAGCTATGGTGGCTCAGTATTTTTTTTCAGGAGTGAAAGATGAGTAAAGGCTGGTGTGTGCTTTTGAGGGTTGTGGGCTCTCGAGCTGCAGATTCTTTCGAGTTATGCTCTTTGACAGCGAATCCAAAAATGTGGTGGAAAACACCAGCTAGTTATAGAGGGTTTCTTTGCAGAGCAAGTTTTTCCCTAAGTTTATCCTGGGTGGGGCACCCGAATGCGAGAGCTGCCACACAGGAACGGCGGCTATGTGTCCACTCGTTGTCTGCGTAAATGCAAGCCAACCGTTACTCGAGAAGGTCAGCTCCTATGTTACCATTTTTAGTAAGGATCAAATTTCTTTCCCTGAATCTGTTTTAAAGCAAGTAAGTTCAATCCGCTCGCTGCAGCTCCCGCTTTGCAATGGAACCAGTCCGTGCCCGTGTCATGTCGCGCTTAAGAAGTAAATTACGGTAGTGTATCGTACTCAGGCACGCTTAAGATGCTGCCAGCCGGGCTACGAGTACGGCATAGTATACCCTTAGTAAATTTACTAGTAGGAAAGAGTGGGTTCCCAAGTGCGGTAAATACATTTCAGTAGTATATGACCCCAACCCAATTTGAAGCACGCCTGGGGGATTTTCCTCGGCTATGTGCGTAAAAATCAGGAAGCGACTTCTTCCGACACATACTGCGCGAATCCCTCTGAAACTAACCAGCTTATCCAGGATGATTTCTATGGACACACGCGAGTGTCACAGTGGTTTCCTTTACCATGCCTATTTCCCCCTTGCGAAACCCGTCCTACAATAGGAAAGCTGCCAAACATAATTGTGGAAACCCAGCGTTGTGCTAAACAAACGGTCCTTTTTTTTGCCAGTGCCATAAGCAGGATTAAGTACAGTACACGCGTACAGCACAGCATGAGTACCTCACTCATTCAGTCCACGTGGATGGATGGGGAGTCTAAATAACCCCTGTGTTCCTTGAAGTCGGGTCGTACTGTACTCGAGTACTCGTACTATACCAGAATCAATACTTGTAGGAGTATACTACGCTCCACGAATACCGGAAACGCCGTACTATACGGTAGGCGACTCGGCTCCACTACTTGCGCCATGCTGCACAGAATTCGTAGTGCAATGTGGCAGCTCGAGTAGGTCCACCAGCGTGCTGCTCCTGGAACATTCTGTAGCCTCCGCGAATGGTAAAGCCCATTCACAAAGACCTTTGGTTTCCATACATTTTAATGAGATGCAACATTGGGAGACATCCAACATTGGTCTTGAAAGAGCGGTCACACTCCCCTCGGAAACCGCAGGGCTGAACGCGTCTGGTGTACGGGCACAGAAGAGATAGGTTGACTAGGCTACGGCTTCGTTTAATTGGTGTTCTGGCCCACACCCTTTTCTGCGTATAGGCAGACTGTGTCCCTTCATGTTGTGCTGCGAAAAGGGGAGATATGCCCGCATCCGACAACAGCCCCGGCCCGGGGAGGGCAAACACCTCCCTTCGATGAGCATTTGGATAATATTTCTTTTCCATCTCGACTAGGTCTAGCTCCTTCTCCTTTTTCTTCTTCCTCCACGGGTGTGTTACACCGTCGTCATTCCCAAACAATTTTATGCACTTTATCCTACCGCATATCGCGAGGTCACAGATATATCCCCCGCGCGAGAGCCAGTTATTGTCTAAGGAAACTTCTGCCTCAGATACGGTGCTATGAGGGTAACCAGCTGTTAAAACACCAAGGAGCCTTGTGCCGCCCCGGAACCACATTCAGGGCCAAGGGCAGGATTGTGGAAACATCGCCAGATATGGTGCACTTATTTATTCACCGAATCTCCTCGAGATGTCAACCAATGGACTGCTAGCGGCTACCGCTCCCCCCTGTGTCGTCATTGATCCTGCAACTTTGCCGATTTTTTTCTTTCCTCTGCGAAAACGGTAGGGATTTGGGTTGGCTTTAACTGAAAGAAAAAAAAACCCTCCCACAATAACAAACCTCAGCACCGAGATCGTCCGGGTAAGGTGTAACTGCGGCTGTGGACCCTTGCCCACCCCCTGTTATTCCACACGTTAGCCTACCGGTAGCATAGGTTCCTACGGAGATAGAGGTCGTAAGTTTTGTATGTTCCGCAGGGTTCTAAGGGCAGAAAGCCTCGCTTGTGGAACCCACAAAACTTAGGCGCCGAACCTCCGTACATGCTAGAATACCGGTATATCGGGCGCTATCATACTTCTGCTTCTACTATTAGATTCACTTAGATGTAGCTACAGGGGTTAGCGCTAATCTCAGTCCTGACCTTTCTTATCGCATACCGGTATGACCCCAGATATCGCACTTGGTCCCCACCTCTTCCCTTCATATCCGGCTCCCGGGCTCCTCCACCGCAATTTGCTTTCCATCCTCCCCATTCGACTCCGACCTCTCCATCGCATTCTACTGGTCGCAGCTTGATATTCCTACCCGGTTTTCTAGACTTCTCGGCAAGTTCGCGGTCTGTAGACATTGACTAATAGCCGAATTCCGTCCGTTGAGCGCTGTGCCTCCTAATGCATATGCACTCGGCCCAGGACCGGAATGGAGAGGTCTGGGATAGGTCCTCAATTTACCTTACTCCATGCCGTGGATTAAGCGCGATATCGGTCACTTTGGCTATCTGCTTTTTTTCTACTTTTTTCTTCCCCTCCGCTGCGACCGCATCTCACTTCCACCCCCCCCCCCATTCGCCTATCACGAACACCACGACTTGCCGTCGACTGCCGCCCCGATCGCCCATAGCCTTCCAACAAGCAGCGGCGGAGAGCTTAAGGAGTGACATTACCTGTCGTGCGCGTTGCCCCTTACGAGGCCCGTAAGGCGTGGTAGGATAGAATGAGGGCTGACAATAGTTCATGGCCCATCTAGCCCTGTGATAGGCGTTGAGGGTAGACCGCCGGGAATTCTCAATTGAACTCTAAACTCTTCGCTTCCTTTTCTTCCCTTATTTCCTACGGCCTGTGTCCAGTGCCGCTACATCAGTCATCAGGAGGCCAGACTGTTCCCGAGACACGGCCGGGAATAGCTTTTTAGGCTCCCTGCTACGCTCACAAAGGCCCATCCTCCCCTAGGCCATCTTGCAATCTGCGAAGGGGAAGGGGCCGGGGCTACTATGTAACTTACTTGTACTTGTACTTGTACAATTCTTCCCTTGTTCGGCCTCCTATGGTCCATGATTAACCTGAGCCCTATTTGTTTTTTAACTTTTAAATTTTTTAAGCTCCTGAGAGATGGAGAATGTTTACGGGTCAGAGTACCTTTCGCCTTTCTGTTTGGGCCTCTAATTCTGTGTAATTGTCCGAAAAGACCAGCTAGGGCAAGAGTTCTACCCAACCATCATGGCCACTTTGCCCTCCTTTCCGTGTCCTTGGGTCATCCGGTCCCTTGCACCGTCGCACCCCACCGCCACTTGATCCCCCAGACCTCGCAAGACCAGAGATTCCTCACTATCTTAACCAATGCGCACCACCCCTGGAGCTCTCCCACACCGGAGCTCAACCTGCCATCCAGATATTGGCAGTTGGTACACGTGGCTGCCCTCATGCGTTGTAGTATAGGAAATACACCAGGTTATTCCCTCTATCTCACGCATGGGACACCCGGACCACTCGCTTTACCGCGCGGATCCACACGTTTTTGACCGACAATGATTGCGCAGTGATTGCGATAGGTAATGTGTGACGATATATGACTGACTCCCACAGCTGTTTCTACCGAATTTTGTTTTCGAGCTACTAGGCAGCCTTTCTAAGGCGGCCCTTGGGCGGCTATACTTGCGAGGGGTGCGTGGGAGAGGATATGTCGGGAGGGGGAACACCGGCATATTTGTTTGATAGCTGTTCAAGCTGTATCCTATTTTACACCTTATAGCCCGCAATAAGTTCAATAGGCGCTGCCATGATGGAGATGTAATCCCAGGCAGTAGTGAGCGGGACACAAAGGTTTACCTAAAGGGCCTATTATATTCTGGTTGGCAGGGTTGTGACTGTTGTTTTGTATGTTTCTTCCTCTTGTAAGGGTTCGGAGGACAGTAGTGGATGTTTTCTCTTTCTCTATAGGTAACAGAAACAATCGGTCATGGACCACTAGTTGAACACATCCACTCCTACCTCCACACAAGCGTTATTCCTCCACCACTGCGAAATACCCGCTGTCGGCACTTGCTATCATACCATATTCCTTACTTGCTCCCCCTGCGGGTATACCACTACCCCCAAATTTTGGCACTGTATCCGAGGGGTGGCATGAGGAGTCCTAGGGAGGGTGGCAAGGGGATATCTGGGTGTGTGAAAACTAGACGGGCATACTTTGCAACTGAGATCTG